ATTGCGTACTTTCGTCGAAGTAGTCACATTTCGCGCGGAGATTCACGTTTGTGTCTTCTTTTGTTCAATTACTGGCTTTACCCGGGAACTGGAAGATTTTTAAGAATTGCAAGAATTATTTCCATTCCTTAGAAACTATCAAGGATAAAACAATAATTGTGATGGAAGATAGAATTTAATCTTAACCGGGGTCCATGAATCCGAATTAATCGAACATGAACCACACAGTGTAAAGGCTTTTTAGGGTTTTTCTATTCAAGGATGAAGCTGACAATTTTATAATTTTTGGTGAAATAAAACATTCATACGGTAAAATATTATAGCAAGGCTGCTCAGGTAAATGGATTGGAATATATCTCAGACCTAAGTATTAGTGTGGAAAAAAGCTAATTTATATTCTAAAATTGTTAGTGATTAGTTTCAGTCATGGTGCAAAAATTATTAAGAGCAATGTACAATTATTGGCTACCATATTGGAGTTGCAAACAGTAAGCTCAGATATTTCTCAAGCTGTTTCCAATCAATTAACAAGATTAACCTGAACGATTTCATCGTATCAATATATCGATCTTTATAATTCCGTGTAAGGTACCACAGATATCGTGTTTTTACTATAATTTTATATATTTTCGTCTAACTTACATATACATATATATATTTAACGACAGTTGGGACAAAAAGAGTAGTAGGGTATAATTGTATTTCAAGTCCGATATTACGAAGGATAAAAATGTACTCGATGTATATGGAGTATATCCATGGATGATGAACAGATTTGCTTGAGAATCGGGAAAAAAAGGAGCTAACGTACACGATCGACCATCGACCATACACAGATGTGTGGTGAAAATGAAAATACAAAATCCCCGTCAGATTCCTTTCCTCGACCGATCCGTCCAACCGAGAAATAACTGCAAATAACGTTCGGGGATTACTTAGTTACCGCGATACACAGACCCTGTGTCGCGCGATGCAGTAACCGGGTTTTCCACTTCCTCTTGTCCGTGTTGTACCTTTGTGACGGATATCTATGGCTACGTGTACGTACACACTCGATGTCGTCGAGATGAGGCACCGAGGGAGGGAGAGATTTTGGTGAGTCTCTTCACAAAGTACGGATCTGTCCCACTCGACACGTTCACCAACAAGGGGGAATTGAAAAGCTGCCTGGCAATCCGGATGGCTTATCCCGGAAGACCCCTACACCCCTTCCTCTCCCTCTCTCTGTCTCCTTTTTATGTCTTCCTCTGTTCGTCGCGTGACCCATTCCTTCTGTTTCTCTCGCTCGACCCCTCGTTTTCCTCTTATGGATAATTATTGCTAATTGTTGATACTTCTTTTATAGGGCTGCTGGGAACGACGAAGGCACGATTATGGAGTTGTTATACCGTCCATGTGGGTCGACGCGTTGAAGAGGTGCGTTTTGTTACGATTATGCTGATCCGTGGAATCTTCTGTTGGTTTATTGCGGCCCTTCCACCTGGACCTCGTGATATGATGGCAGGTACGTTGAGAAGTTATTTTTTCTACCTTGAAATCGTATATTTTAAATTTATTTTGGTACAGAGACATTTATCTTTTATGTCTCTTCAGTTATACGTAGCTTAATTTCTGTTGGAATATTTTACAGTGTGTGCTTAAAGGTTCCTGATCAAGGACTGAAGTATGCTTATGATCATCATCTTGGACATAATTAAAAAACTATGTTTTATGGGAAACGCATTCTTAGGGGTGTGGCGGCATCTTCCTCATCCTCGTCAATAGATGGATTCCTACTTGAAGGAGGTTCGAGGACTTTCTCGCAAATTCTCGGTAAAAACCCTCAAACCCTCTGTTTCCAAACTTTCCAGTAGTATCTCCGTCTAAGGCAGGGCCTGCTAGGTAGCCTTACCGATGAGTGCACTAGCAGGCCCAGGACGAAACGCATCCCATCCTTTCCCTTTCGTCTCTTCCAGCACCCCCTTCACATAGAAGATACCTGTGACCAGACGACTAACAGCAACCGTGGGGGAAGAGACTCTTACAGGAGCAACTGATGTCATTATTTTAGCGAGTCTATCTTCGAAGCCCATCGCAACTTTCTTAGAGGTACTAATTGATCCCCAATTGCAATACATTCAATACGGTACGATTGTAACTTAAAACATTTCTCTACCATGAAATACTAAATTACTATTCTTGCGGTTCTATTTCCAGATCAACAAACCACCGTGGAACCGCCAGGACGAAAGGAAAATTGCAGCATGGCCCAGCCAAGGATATAATAATTAATTTCCGGCATGCTCGATTCTCGGTCGCGGAACGCCAGGAGGCGGCTGCGTGACACGGTATAACGCCGACATAACATCGCGGTCGTTCATTTAATTATATCGCCAGCATAAGTGTATCCACACGCTGTGAGCATATTACGTCCAGTCGATCGCGCGAGCCCGTTAGTTCGTATGGTTACGGAGTATTTACTGACACAATAATTATCGCAATTGACGGGGGCAGCCGCACGAGCAGTCAGACCGCAGAGCAAATTCTAGGGACGTCGAGTAGTATTACGTGGCAGGAAACTCTCACCCTCTTCGCCCTCTACTAGCCTCTACCTTTCTCTATCCTCTCTCTGTGCTTGTCTCTCTTGGTCTCTCTGCGTGTCTCTGTTTCTCTGTATCCGACTGTTACTTCTTGCCTCTGGCCCTCTGTCACGATGTACTTGGCCCGACGGTATATCGACGGTAACGAGGAGGGAGAAGGTTCTCGTGTACCGATCATTAATATTCGGCTGAGTTTCGGATGGGTCAAAGGGAATGCTCCTGTGAATTTCTCGACTCAAAGTGTCGATAGTGTTTGAGCTAGAGGGACAGAGGAGAGAAAAAAACTGAGGAATTCTAGTGGTTATTCGTGAAGGATTCAATGGTGGATATAATTGGTTGATGGTAGAGTCTTGGTGATCTCGATTGTCGTTTGCTATTTTCATTACATCAAGTGGATTTTTGGTGATAGCCGCAGAAAGTGTTATAGATTTGTAGCGGTATTATTCTCACTCTCGCTAGTAGATGGATTCCTTCTTTTCCTGCATATACAATTTCCAAGCTTTCCAATCGTATCCCTGTCTAAGGCAGCCTTACTGATGAGTCCACTGGCAGGCCCAGGACGAAACGCATCCCTTCCTTTTCCTTTCGTTCCTTTTAGCATTACCACCAAATTGCAGATATCTGCGACCAATCGATAACAACAACAATAAGGGAGGACCCCCCATAGATAGAATTAAAAAGAATTCGCCTAGAAGTCGAGTCTTTGGTTTAAATGTCTAATAAAGTTCTTTAAGACTTTTCTAAAATTAATTGTCTAATTGTAGAGCAGTTCTAGAGAGTTCTACAGACCCCCTGCAAACGTGAAGATTTTTAATATAGAATTTTAACATAGGCGGCCTTTTAACCAGGACAATATTTTGTTAAGATCATGGTCCGCTTACAAACATTCTAAATCACTCTAAATAGTACACTCTCAGTAATGAAAATGTAATATCACGTGTAATATAAATATGTAACTCGCGTCTACGTTTTTCATGTACGAATAATACCCAGAAGACAGGCTCGATTACAGTAGATGGCTGGGTACAACTCGGTTTAATTCGATTAACCTGGAGTAAAGATGTTTACCAGGTATCACGTAACTCAAAGTTATCTCGTTTTACGTTTACAGAAGGGGACAGCATTCACGGGTGGGGCTACTTTTTCTCTAAGCATAAATATACTCCGTTATTAAACGATCAGAATATATAGCTTTATTCACTACTCCATGATTAAAGATCTTGGGTGATGCTCTAATGTATTACTTTTTGGAGTATGGATGTTTGCTAGGAGAATGCATACATTTTTTTCAAATATATTGGTCGAGCTGGTACGATCAGAGTATTCTCATGCTTATATTTTTATGACCAATTTTTCAACTATCTCTTCCATAAATAATTCTACATTATTTTCACCCGATTTATCTCAAACGTAACGTATTCGTATTAATCAAAGCTTAAGTGTACGTATATTAATCGAAGGTTAGAGGTGGTAGGCAAACTCATTTTACTTACTCCTTCTTTTTAACCCTTATTTCGTACGAGCAGGTCACGTGCGGAAGTGTCCATTCGAATTAGAGCGTGATTGTTACGAATTACCGATCGCGTGTTTGCGTACGGGACAAGGGTGGCCGACATATTTTTAGGAAAGTTTTCTCCTCGAGTATCAAGTGTTTGCGGACCTATCGGTGCCGATAATGGGTGACGATGGAAGCTTTCGTAACTTCGTCACAGCCGAAGGGCGCAACAATGGCCACGTGACCGTCGTCGGGAAACACTATACTGTCACGCTTGCGATCCTAACATTGGGTTAATGGAATCTCGATTAATTAATAAACTGCTTGAAACTGCATTCGTGTGTGCCATGCACTCTTTTCTATTCTATTCTCTTTTTTATGGGTTCTCTTATCCATTCTCGTGGTAAAATCGCGGTAAATCGCGGTAAATCGTGGTAAATCGTGGTAAATCGTGGTAGCCGTGGTAAAATCGTTTAAGGAGCTTAGTGATAAAATTGTAGAAATGTACTTGTTCTTCCAAAAATCGAGTTAGAGGAGCTTAATAATTTTAGAATTCAGGAATATTGATAATTACTGAAAGGATAGAATAAAAAGATAAAGAGAGTTTATCAGTATCGGGTATAGCAATTTAATGGTAATAAAGTTTAAATTCAATACTTTTCTACGTGATGACTTGTAATATTTTTTAGAAATTTTATTTCACATATAATTTTTGTACAGAAGCTATACCTATACATTTGATTTCCATTTCAATATAGTCGATTATAGAAAATTATTCCACAACAGATGTTCATTATAGGAGTTAAGTAATCATCTTAGACAATATTTAAGAGACCTAGTTGGTATTTTCATGTTGAAAATTAGGATTTTAAAATCTACTTCGCAAATAAGGAAAGGAAACTACGTGTTAATAAATGATCACTCACCGTTTCTCGGGGAGGACTCCAGCACTGTGGGGAATTACGACCACTATGACTGCTGGTGGCTGAGTTTGAGACAGAATGAAGATTCTGAGCAGTAATGTTGAGAGGTGTCACAGGATCGTCTTCTGTCGTCTCGATGTCCACTTCGTCGTCGGAATTATCCTCTTTATGAGATACCGAGGTATCCGATGGTTGTTCTTGACCAACCGATTCCACGATCGGCGGTCCACGAATAACAGGTCGAAAGGCAGACTGATGTAATGATGGATTCACCGCTGGTATAAGCGGCTCTGTAGGACTGGAACCGCTTATGGGTGGTGGTAGAGGTCCTAGAAATGAAAATGGACACGTGTTACATTATGATAACTCCTTTAATCAATTTGTTGAATTAATAAAAATTATTTGAAGCGATTCCTAAATGATAGATTACAAAGACAACGAGCCTAATATCTTCAATGCTAATGATAACGATTCCTTCTATATTTTTTACTATTAATTTGTTTGTCATCACATGATTTATATTGCAATTTAGAAATGAGGAGACTAGAGAGACTTACTGGGGATTTACTAACATAATAAATCCATTTTTGTTGATTCTGCTGAATCTAATTTCCCTTTATGGCAAGCAAATAAATCCATAAAATTTTGTACAAAAATCGATTATCACGACTAATCCTATAACAATTAATATTTTTGAAATATTCAGAACAAATATTTTAATGGTAGGAGTTTGGTTAACAAGGATAATATTTCTGTAGAAACTAGGAAATGATATTATATTCTTCTCCTGCGTCTTTCAAACGTAAAACATTTTTCAAAATTAGTTTTCGATAGTATTCGTAATTTCTTACAAGTAAACATACATGGAGTATGCAGATATATATAAATATATTGTGAATAATCCTGGCATGCAATGAAATCGAAACATTAACTAACGATATTTCTTTCGAGCCACGATTAAGTTAATCCTCTAAATAGCCTGTCCATTTATGGCTACAATTTGCTGCCGAATCGTTGATAACTTTCGCACATCACTCGAGATAATAATCGACCCGTTGGGTCGAAATTTTGTTTACTATTAGTTACAATAATTTTAAGCGATTAATACTAACCCTGGTCAATAAATCGAAATAGTCACGTTAATCGACCGCGCGAATACACGCGGGAATACAGGGACCGTGCATTAATAATTATTATCAAAGACCATTACCTTACACGCACAGCATGATCGTTACCGTTACACCGATTAATAATTTTCGTGGCACTCTTCACATTCACATTTTCCCTGTAATTATACTAATGAACTGCGCTACGCAATGTAATTTCTGCTCGCTGTGCGTGTAATCCCCTGCATTACGAATTACAATTCCTGTAAACTTCGTATTAACTATTGAAACATCAATCTATGCGATTTGCGTTATTTTAGGGAAATTTATGGCCGTTATAAACGAAACATTTATTTATTTTATTTCAAGAAAGTCTGATCGAAGAATTATTTATCCAAGTTTGGAAGACTTGCCGGTTGCGAATATAAATTTTATAGTTATTCTACCGTGAGATAGAATTTTCTCAAAAATCTGTATTTTAAGAAAATACTGGCGTATATGATAAAATATTTCTTGCTGAATTGTTGAATATTCTAGGAAAGTAGAAAGCAAAAACATTGTTAAATTGAAAGTACGAATTTAGAAAATCGAATATCTAACGAATATTCACTGTTTTCGTATAAAATTTTCTTTTCGTAACTCATATACAGTGTGCACCAATGTATACACCAACGAGTTGGACAAAAAATTCTAAAAACAGAACACCTTCAGCCAATTTTCCAATCTCAAGCTTCTATTCTCGGAATCAATGATCCTACACACTGACCTACCACTCCTTTATCAAACCTCAAGCCTAGCTTAACTCTACTAATCGAACAACCAATAAAGAAAGAAAAGAGACGACCCCCAAAAATTACTCTCAACGCACCAGGAAATAGTACCGGTCCTCTCTTGGCTAGCCATGGCAAAGCATACGGCGAAAACGGAAATCCAGGTGTTTGGTGGTGTTGCCATACGTAGTTCATCACGAGACTTCTGGATAACGGAAGCGGTAATTCCGGAAACGGCGGTACCCGGGGATGCGTGGGCGACGGCACGAGGGTGGGTATCTGCGCTGTGGGCGATGATCTCGGTTGCTTTGCTGGGCTTGGTGATTCCCTTGATGTCGGATTATTAAGCAATCGTTTTCTAGTGCCGCCGTTGAACATCGCTTTCACGTCTTCCCATGCATGCACCACCTCGTCGGGCGGGTTCCCGGACAGTTTCATGTGACGTCGCCACGAGTTGAAGTTCGCCGCGTCCGGTTGCACGTACTTATCCGACGGCCCGATTCGATGCGAGTGGAAGATGAACTTGTTAGGGGAGAAGAACAGGCCACAGTAGGCGCATTTGATGCACTTGGCACGGGAACTGTTGTAACGTGCAGGAAGGAATGCACCTCGACAACCCCAGGCACATTCGTGGTGCACGGAGAACGCGAAGTCCTCGGGTAGCCTTGAAGACAGAAGAAAGCTTTTGATAATTTTCGGATTATCCCAATCGATTTGGAGCATTGGTTGGGTAGTTGTGGGTTGAATAAGTGAGAAGGAAAATTAGAACTTTTGTTGTGAAGGTAAATGGGTTAAGTGCGCGAAAAAGGATGTCGAGGATCGTAAGGGTTGGTTTGTAGAAAGGAACAGTTTGGGGAAATTTAAACAGAATTATTATATTTCAGCGTTGATTATAACTATGTTGTTGGGTGTTGGATATGAGCAAGAAGACACTCTAGTAGCGTCATTATAGAGACAATGATAATCAGACTTTAATGCAAAATGCCAGATTTTAGATAAACTATTTTACAAAATCTTTTTTCTCCGAATCTCATAGTTCGTTACGTTATTTCTTCTTGAAGCTAATATCTTATTTGAACTTATTTGACCCAGTGATAAGTATTCGATTCTTCTTCGATTTATCATACTCTCTCTCTCTTTGCATCGAATTTAAAGGTGGTTGGCGTACATTGACCGCGTCACACGACAATTTTTGGAGGTGGCTTGATAAAAGTTAACCAACCTGGGTGGTGCATTGTCGCCGAGGAACGATTTGCAGAGACGCTCGGCTTCCCTTCGCGTAATCATGCCGCATCTCCTGGAGGAAACGGGCATGGCGCCCGCTCGTCGGAGGATTTCCAACTGGACGGGGGTGCATTGCACGCAGGTGATGCCTAAAGCCACCCTGCGATTGTGAATCTCGTTGTAGCTGAACTGCTTCAGCAACGTGTTGCTGATTTGTGCCAAACAGAGCCTTTCTTGGCCCTCGATCACCAGGGACACGATGTGTATTCCATAGAGAGAAACTGTGCCCACCTGCAACTCCTGATGGTTTAGGTTCACAATGTGATCCTTCGACGATTCGATTACAAACTGAAGCAAATTTATTTTCCTTTTTCATTTTTCTTTATTATCGTTACTTTGACAGCACTATAAATTCGTGAGAAAATTGCAAATAGCCAAATCGATTCCGATGAATTTCAATTCCTTTAATTTTATACAGATATGCAGAGGCGTGGCAATATTTTAAATCGTAGAATTCGGTGTAGAACTGAAACGTCGCGTAAAGGTAATTTAGGTTTAACGAAGCAATGGTAGAATCTGATAATGAGACAAATATATGAACAAAGATAACGATATTTCGTTGTATGTAAAGTGTCTTGTCTTCTCGATTTAAATAAATGCCGATAGTCCGCAGTTTCGATATGCTGTACCGAAACAATTATAAAATAAAATTCCATAATATAAAAACACATGCGATACCTGATTGGATTTCGAATGCGACTGTGGCTGCGGCGATTGTGCTGATTTTTGGGGCGCGGTTATCGGCGGCATCGATAATACCGCCGGCCCATCCATTCTACTGCGAAAAAAGGCAAAAAAAAAAAATGATATGTATATATATATTCCAGAAATAACAATCTCGTTCAATTTTTACAGACACTCATCATCTCACAAAGCTCTCTCGATAAATTATTTCTCTCTGATATATTCGGGGCTACACGGCGAACGCTAATGAATACTTTTCGAATTACGATCAGTTTAAATTCCATTGATACTTTTCACCATTGTAATAATAGCATGTGCAATCGAAAAATATAATACGCAACGATACGTGTCCCTTTTCGTCGTTCCACGCTGTTTCCGTTCTCGATTTATATTCTCTGTCGCCATTGTAATTATACTTATTACACTCTATCGATCACTCGTCATCGAACAAAACCGACCAATGGACGTCATTAAACGCGACATATTCGCATTTAGATCAATTAAATCGGACATTTTTGCCGATGTTCCATCTCTGTTTCGCGGTCAATTAATCGCGATCACCAAAGGCTGACCTCATTGATCCGTGTCATAGCACGATCAGCTTCTGCTCTCGCTGCTTGTACGGATTTCAAGTGTGATTAAGTTTAAGCTTCGAGTAGTCGGAAGGACCTACTTTGTTTTTAAATCGTCGCCACCGACCGCGTTGGTAATTAAGTGAATTCAAAGGGTTTCGTCGTACGAGACGGAATTAAGCGAAGTTGCCGCATTCCGGGTCTTTAGCGTTAGAGAACCCTCGGGTGCGGTCATTTTGACGGTCCCTGCTTCTTCTTTATTACTTTCTACTCTTAGTCTGCGAATTTTTGTTTAATAATTTTTCGTATTTTTGTCCAGGTATTGCACTGTATAAAATTTCGCGATCGTATTTATACTGCTACAGAAATTATGCGATTTTATAGGATTCATAATCTCAGCGACGTTTCGTAGAATACCAAACATCGTTTAATATCGATTAAGAGAAGGTTTCCTTAAAATTTCTAGAATTATTTAAAATCGTTGCTCCTGTGTAATTTGAGGTTAGTCAACTATGAATTTTAAAATAAATTTCTATCCCAAGTTCTTAAAAGCAGTCCTTTAAATAGTGTAATATTTTTAAATAATCTAAGATTCTAGACACGGTAAATAAATTTCTGTCTTTCAAACAACTTTAATATGAAATCACCCAAAATACTATGCCAGCACCATATTCTATCTCTCGTCTCTCATCTTATAATTTTCTCATCGCCAAGGGAGATGATGAGACTTTTTCTGTCGCAGCGAACCAAACTTTGGACTCTTTCAAACATTTCCGTTCGTCGTCCTGCAAAGGTTCGCACGAGGTAAAAGAAATCGTGACGAAAGAAAAAAGAAAAGGGGAGAAAAGGAAGGCGAAGGGGTGCGGAAGGCGAGCATCGGGTTCCTTATCCTCTTAGAGGAGGCGGAGGAAACGTCTCGTGCCGGAAGATGGGAGGCGAAGTACCAATAAGTGCGCCAGGACCAACAGACTCTTTCCATTAGTTTAACGCGCGACGAAGATTTCATTGAGACGGTGAATTTTTCATGAGAGTCCGTCGGGAGGAGTGAAACGGGAAAGGAAAAAAGGAAAACAGGAATAAAGAAAGTAAAAAGAGAAAAGAGAGAAAAAAGGCGGAAGAGAAAGGAATAACAGAGAGACACAGAGGCAACCAGAGACGCAGCGTACACGACAAAGGAAAAAAGAGGAAAAAGGGAAACAGAGAGACACGGACTGATCTGATTTTGCGCAGGCACGTCAGAAAGAGACAGCGTGATCGATAGACATGGGCCAACCAACGACAGGACGGAAACAGAATGCCATAGGAACGGTAGAAGAAGAGGGAGAGGAAGAGAGAGAACGAGGCAACCCTCGGTGTTGATTTTAATTGAAAACGCCTCCATGAAGGTATACCCGTGTACATCGTGCACCGCTACACGTACAACGGTGCACGCAGATAAAACCCATCTACAAGCGGGCATAGCCCTGACGTAGAAGCACAGAGAGCGCCAGCGCTCCAGCAAACGTCCCCGGGGACTGTGGAACCAGGGGGTAATTCAATTTGACACCCCCACCCACGCTTAAACAAGGCAGCACCCATCCGACCCTCCACCTTCACCCTTCTCTACCATCCCTCCCCGCTCTCCGTTATCTCTCTTTCTCTCTCTCTCTCTCTCTCTCTCTCCCTCTCTCGTTAACTCTCTCTCGTTCACTCTCTCTCCATTCCTCTGCATCTACACACCATACCTATCCTCTTCTTTCCATCCACCGTTTCCTCTTTATGTCTTTGTCTCTCTTTCTCTTTTCTACCCCCACAGTCATGGTCGTCCTTGTTCAATGCCAGTCTCTCTCTCTTCGTCGCGCAAATTAAATTCTCATCCACCGTGAAACAATGCCGGTACCCGAGCCGGAACAACCCCCTCCTCCTTCGAGCCACCTCTCTCTCCCACTCCATACACCAGCCCACCTGCAGCCCCCATTTCCTCCGCACCCAACGAGCAACCCTACCTACTCAGTCACCCCTTCTACAACTGCTCCTGGATGCCGTTGGTCAGCGGTTCGACAGATCGGACTCGAATCGACCGCATTAATTACTCGCTACTTACAATTAGTACAAACTAGAATCGGCCGCGTACGTTCTACTAATGGTCGCGGCGTTTGTTCACCCTACTTACGCGTCGTTCATTAGCTAATTGAGCCACGATGATTTGACCTAAGTCCTTCCGATTTGATTTCTCGTGAAAGAGATTTCAGGAACATATAGAAATAAACGGTTGTTTCTGGGCGAGTTGGTTCCTAGGTGAAAGGTGTAAACGTTTAAGAGTTTATAGAGGTTGGTCCGGTGGAAAGCGATTTTGGGAAATAGAATTATGAAGTCTTTTTGTTTGGAATGCATTTAGTAGACTTAGGTTGTTTCGTCAGGCAGTTGGAGAATGTTGCTATTTATCGTAGTGTTCACCATTGGACAAAGCCATATTTGAACCTGGACATTCAACTTTTGACCTAATTATGTCTCTGTTTAACCTAAGCAATTTAATATTTTTCAAGTTGTAATTATAATTATTATAATTAGGAGTCAGAGCATGTCCATTTTACGTATAAAATTAGAGCTTGAAAAATGTTCTATTCATTACTATATATAGGTAACTGCTGGAAAGGATCTACATTTTTCAAACCAGAAATTTCTTTTTGTACAGGTATAACATGCAATTACTGCAGTTCCTCGGGTCTCATATAATTTCAATTTTGTCAAGAATAACCAACAAAATCCTTACTCAAAACAGAAAATATATCACGATGCTACTTCTCCGAAGCTTCCTATTATACTACCTAAGCTATTTAGGGCAAAACCCTCATTCATATCTCCATCGCTTAATTCAACGAACAAGTTACCATCACTCAGCAAATCAAACCAGTCCTCACCACGAGTAAACTCTCTCGCATGATCGTATAACCAGAACCTCTGTTCCCCATAGCTAGAAAGAAGCATCATGAACCAATGACGTAATAACGCCAGCGAAAACTTTCTTTCTCCTATGTTTACTTTCTCTCATCATACACACACACCAGCCTGATCGTGTCTGTCTGGAATAATGTGTTTCCCGTTTCTACGGGGAAATAAGCACGCAAAAGCGAAGTGCACGCGAGACAAACGGACACGATACAACGCAAGGGTGGTTGTATGCAGTGTAGGGTAGTAGTCGGGAACGAAGTCGCGAGGATAAGCGTACCCGCGGGCTCGCGGATTATTTAAATGCAAACACAATGTTGTACCGAGGCGCATTGTTCCCCTCTCGGTTATTTTACAATTCAATCTGCGATCCTCGACTCCTGGAGGCGGCGGCAGGCTTCCGAGGGTCCAGGGACGGGCTCGGGGTACCGCTTGTTCGTTCATTGTAACGTTGTTAAATCTCTGCGCTTCCATTATGACTACATCGTGCTCCCATTTCTCCTCTCTTTCCC